AGGTGGACTGATTCAGTGACTGGGATAATTGGGATGGGAGTGTCAGAGACAGTGCGACTGGCACAGGACAGAGCGGAGTTTAGGGTTGTTGTACATAGGGTCGCTATGAGTCGCAAGCGACTCGACGGCACATAACAACAACAACAACAACAATAAACATTAACAAAGATTTGAATAAATGTAAATCTCAGTAAACTCAGAGAACATATTTAAAGAGAGGGATGGTGGTTTAGAAGAGCTTCTTTAAGACCTGGGCTAGAATTATGTTGTGTGAAGAAACTCAGTCCCACAAGGACAAATACTGTAAAAAAAAAAACCCCACAAAACCACCAAAAAAAATTTAAAAAAAAACAAACCCAAACAGAAAACCCACCATTATTGTAGAATGAGTATGAGGACCCAAGGCTAGAGGGGTGGGTGGAAATAAATAGGTAAGGATGGGTCGAGGAGTAGGGTTGCACATTGGATGAATTGGTGGGTGAAAGAAATGGGAAGGATCTTTTGTGAAAAACAATGTATTCAAACTTTATAAATAAATCAGAATAAAATTTCTTTTAAATGTAAAAAAAAAAAGAAGGAAAAAAAAGGATAATGAGGAGGGAACAAAAAAAAAAAAAAGAACTGGGCTAAAGAATTAAGGAATACCAAACAGCAAAGCATACATGCTTGAAGCAGGCACAGCATGAATTAATATATTAAGTTAGCAAACTTCTGTATCATCACTAGCATAATATTTTATAAGCGAAGACAGCAGAATGATGACATGAAACTTTTAAATTCTTTTTAAAAGAACATTCAACAAGTAGTATTTCTACTTAGAGAAAATAGAATATAGCGCCTCTTAGGTTCCCCTCAAAAGCTATTATCACAGGTTTAAATGATACTGACTTCTTCAACAATATGTAGGATTGCAAAGGAACTATTAAGATGTGGAAAAGATTCTTCCTGCCTTTGCCTGCAACTGAGGTAAGTCAGAAAGGCTGTAAACATACTTATATCCATTTGGAAAAGACAGTTTGGTACCTGGCACAGATATGCAGGCCTAGGGTAAGGGGTGGGGGAGGGAAGGGCCTCTATGAGGGTGCCCATGTATTAGGTCAAGGTGGCTGAGAAGGGAATATGTAGCAAAGCTGAGATATATATATGATTTAGTAGATCATGATTAGGGTGATTGTGTAAGACAATGGTACAGACACACTGACTGAGATACTATCTGTTTACTACTGTTTTATGTAGGCTTGTTTATAAAATCCTTTCAAATTATAATCTCTTATTTCAAGAGGTTATAAACTATTTATATACATTTTCTACAAAACTATTGTGAGGGAGTAATTTTAAAACTAAATACTTAAGTAAGAGTATTAAAAGGGAAAAATCATTGTTACAGTCACTTCAATTTCTTAATAAATTATTTTAGGCATAATTACCTACCTATTTTGACTCTCCCCCTCTCAGGACCTTCTCCCATTACTAGGATATTGGCTGGTTTCTAGAAATAAAAATAGAGCACTCAAATTACTATGTTTAGTCTTTTGACATGCTCTAAAATGGGGAAAAAAGGTTTCTTATGATAACAGAATACCACTTTGCATTTTCATCAAAACTACAAATATTTAAGTACCGTCTACATAGTTTATGCATTAGACATCCTTGAAACAAACGCTAACTTTATACAATTATCCTTGCTATGTGAAAATACATCTTCTTTTCAAAACTGTAACTTACAAATAAATACAAAGCTAATAAAGTGATTCTTTCTATTCATCCTACCAGGACAAAAACCAATCAAAACAAAGAAATTTTTAAAAATCTTTTACAAGTTATAGTCTATCTACTAACTGCCCATGACAAGGCGCTCAGATGGTGGAAAATTTTATATAAAATTTCCAACTGTAACATAATTATCTTCATTTAAGCAAATAAAATGGAATATTCTTTGCTCAAGATTTTCAAGCTACTACAGGAAAACGTGATCAACATTCAGCAGATTTTGTTAAAATTCATGTATCTTTTAAGCTATAGTACATGCACAAGTGAGATGCTCCAAATATAATTTCAAGTAGGAAAATAAAAATCAAGGCTAACCCAGAACTATATAAAGAAAGAAGTAGGCTGCAAATGTATGCATCCTCTCTTAAGTCACCCTCTTTTATAGGTATTGGAAACCATAGGAACTGTGGGAACAGGTTTTTATTTATATTTTTTCTGTTGGAGAAAATAAGACTTCTTTGTAAAGTCTTTGGACAGAAAATGTAAGTGTTTTTTTGTATTGGGGGAAGGGGTGGGCAGGGAGAAAAGTACAACAACGAATGAATGGAAATCCAAAGTCTCTGTAAATTTTCATTAAAATTAATAACAATAAAAACAGTTTTTAAAGAAAATGTGCTTTTTACTTATTAAGTTCATTTATTCAATCAATTAATCTATTTTTTGGTTTCTTCTATGAATAAACAACTGAAGAAAAACAAAAGGGCAAAAACGAAAAATAAAAGTAAAAAAATTAACCTTCAAATATTTACTATGTAAGTAGAAAAATACGTCTTCATCACAATACATCTTTTAATTTCCTGGCAACTGGTGCCAAGAGTGTTGACTGTGGAGCCAAGCAAACTAAAGCTGTGAACAATCTCAATCTCTTTACCATCCATCGTGATGCTGCCAATTG